CCGGCTCCGGACAGCGAGCTTGCCCTGCTCCGACGTCCATGGCGAAACTGTCACCGGGGTGATCAGAGCGGCGCCCCATCGGGGCGTGATGCGGGGACGGCGCTGTGTGCCTGAAATGGCGTTCCGTGATTGCCTGGTTCTGAGGCATGGGTGCCGAGCATTCTGGGGTATGTGCAGTGCAGCCCTTCGGCAGAGCCACAGGCGCATGCCGTTGCCCACAGCGAGCTTGTGTGCCGGCGCGCTTGCCAGGCCAGCCGGCCTGTGAGCCCGCCCAGTCAGGCCCATGCGCCCATGGGAGGCAGTGCGCGGGTGTGCGCGCATGGACGTTGGTGAATGCGTGAATGCCGCGCACCCTGCTGCTCAGCCCGGAGGGCACCCCGTAGCAGCCTGCCCCCTGCTTGGGCGTCGTCCGCGCTCTGGGAGGGCCCCGCGAGCCGGAGCTTCGAGCGCGCCTCCATCCTTCCGGCCCGTGCTCTTCCTCCCCCGGGTCCTGATGCGTGTGTACACACGCTATAACGGCCGGATTTGGCCGGGCGCTGGGCAGGCATCCGGCCAATGTGCCGTGCCCGTTACAACGGCCCCGTGCGGCGAAAGCCTCGAGAGACAACGGCCGCCCCGGGGCCCCAGGGCGTGGCCGAGAGCCCCGGCTTGCCCCCGCGAAAGTCGGCCGCGCCCGAGTGCAAGCATGCCCCCCCCCCCAGGTGGTGGAAGGGACCGTCCAGCGGGCTTATTTTCCTTCACCAATGACTGACACATGCATTGATGTGGTGGTCTACGTATGTGTGTGTGTGTGTGTGTGTGTGTGGCCGCGCCCCGGGCCGGAACCCTGTCAGACGCGCCTGCCCAGGCCGGCCAATGGGACGGGGACACAATGTCCACGCATGAATGTCGAGGGGGGCCGGAGGTTGTGCCGCGTTCTCCCTCCTTCTCCCTCTGCCTCGAAAGCATGTCTCTCGAAGAAAAGGGCGGCATGGGCTGTGGGTCCGGGGGGGGGGCGGGGACGGGGGGGGGGCGGGGAGGCAGACTCAAGGAGCTCGTCCGAGAAATCGGACTGCCCCCGTACGGAAACCCCAGCCCGCTCCTGGGCTGGCCTCTCTCTTTTCCCGGGGGAGTGAGGCCGCTTCAGGCCGCGCTCAGGGGCATTGATCAAGACAATGTACATCCCGGCCCCACGTCGCCCCGTAGGCCGCATCTCCCATGAGGCCCGGCATCCCTCCCCCACCCCGTCAACAACCTTCGTCCGCGACGCGCCCGCCCCCCTGGCACTTTCTCATTGTCAGTTCGGTGAAACACCTC